TAGTGCTATTAGTTTTAACTTTCCACTCTAGTTTTAGTTGTAATTGTGATATTCTAGTTGTGTTGCTGTCCTTCGTCGACAGGTTTTTATAATATACATATATTACATTTCACTGTCAAATATGTTCCCGTCACGATATGGCTGAAATATTGCCGATGTGGCGTCAAATATTAACTCACTCACTCACTGAAGCAGATAGGAAAGTAGACTTTGCAAACACGCTCGTTCAAATTGCATAGGGTCCTGTTGTGACTGCGCTGTTGCTGCTGAGATATGCCAACACTAACGAATTACCTTTCTTTCTTGTCAGCAGAAGATGTTGAAGCCTTCCAAAACAATTTTCTCCTGGATAACTTTTGGGCTGGATTTTTTACAGGAAGTGGACTGATCACTAATTCTTAGATTCTCTACAGAAGAAATCAGTTCACACGCAACGCTGAACCGTTTAGGTGTGCTTACCTGTGTTGTTCCAATTTGGGCCGTTGTAGTTGCTTTAGTCACGATTTGGCCTTGCTTATGGCAGCCGCTTGGAAGACAGCACAGCTTTCAATCTTATTATGGCACGAACGGCAAAGTAATTGAATGTCTGAGTCAATGATCTATCCAAATGAACTAACTACACTTGTCCCCAAATTCTAGATCCTGTGTTGGGACAGCCAGGTGTTCGAGAAAGGATGGAGACGGCACAGCACAGGTTAATGAATCAATAACTTTGTCGGTACTTGTGCACGTGTTTCGCTAACACCTGGCTGTCCCTTTCTCTGTACTCCTCCCTCGTAACAAATAGTGAACTGTGTCAATATTTTAATGATAGTTTGTTAAACAACTTTTTTGATTTTAGGACATAAATTCTGCAAACAAATCACAGAGTTGGTCTGATGTTTTGATTATGATCAGCGTTTCATTGAGTATTATATGTTTATTAGTTTTCGAGTTAGATTGCAATTCATCGGTCCGCTTTTGAGCCAAACGCACTATAGGCACAAATCTTGTTAGGAAATAACAGAGACTTTTGACATGGGCCAAAGTTCATCTACAGACGACGGATGTCTCCGCCAATGAGCTACTACCTAACATGTCTAGAACCACACACGTGGCCTACCCAATATATCTAGCACTACGATGAACAATAACCCTCGTCAAAAAGTAGTCCCTTAATTAGAGCAAATCAAACAAGGTGCTACTAGACTGACTATCCGATAAACAATTAATCTATCAATGGTAATTACTATCTAAATATCCCTATATGAACCCCCTGCCCCCTACTTACACTACTATTTACTATTATTCCTGCATTTGGAAATTCAGAGTTATCTTTCCTTGGAAATAGTCCTAGACTCTTTTCATCTCCGTCCCCGTTTGCGCTTAGACGAGGCCCAGTCGTAAACATTGCCACGAGAGGGGTACGAGACGCCATTTGGCTTGCCGGAATGACACGAGTAGTTACGGATGGATAATTTAGTCTGGAAATTACTTAAATCATTTCCCCAAAACACATCTTATTTACAAGGGGCTTCTGCTGAACAAAATAACTTGGCTCAGTATAACAGTGAGTGAGTGGGTTTAGTTTTACAAGAGGTTCAACCGCTGAGATTATAATCCACATTCGGCTTGACGAGCAAACGCTTTAACCACTAAGCTACCCCACCGCCCCTTTTTAAGATGGCAACACTAAACGAACCCTGTTATAGCTTTTATAACCCGTGAAGATCCGGGTTAGACTTGATCTTAAACAACCCATGCTTGTCGTTAAAGGCGACTAACGGGATCGGGTGGTCAGGTCTGCTGACTTGGTTGACACATGTCTTCTTGTCTCAATTGCGTAGATAGATGCCCATGCTGTTGATCACTGGTTTGTCTAGTCCAGACTCGATTTTTTACAGACCGCCGCCATATAGCTGGAATATTGCTGAGTGCGGCGTTAAACAACAACCCAACCAACCGTACTGGAACCATCCCGACTTACGGATATAAGTGGAAACAGCATAATTTCAGGAAATATTTGTTCTCGCACTTCCATGCCGTGATAAACCTTGCTGAACATGTTGTCTCTGACCCTTAATTTCAGTGTAAAAAAAGACCTTTATGAGTGAGTGAGTGACTTTAGTTTTACGCCGCACTCAGCAATATTCCAGCTATATGGCGGCGGTCTGTAAATAATCGAGTCTGGACCAGACAATCCAGTGATCAACAACATGAGTATCGATCTGCGCAATTGGGAACCGATGACATGTGTCAACAAAGCCAGCGAGCCTGACCACCCGATCCCGTTAGTCGCCTCTTACGACAAGCATAGTCGCCTTAATGTGGCAAGCATGGTTTGCTGAAGACCTATTCTGACCCGGATCTTCACGGGTCACCTTTATGAGCAGAAGAAACCTGATGCACTCATATTTTGCGTAGTGTAAGTTCCCTAGTAAGGCATCTACCACTCGTTGTTGGTTCTTGTAGCCTGTTTGTATATTGTATAGTCTTCAATAAGTTTAGATTAACATACTAGGTTTACATCAATATCTGATTTACTGGTTTTATCAATGTATTTTTCAACAGGTTTTTATAATATCGATTGTCATGAATGTATAACTTCTTTTAGTCACTATAAGGCTGAAATACTGAAATTACAGGAAATATTTTTATCTCATGAAGCGATATCCCTTGCTGTACATTTTCCGCCTTTGCCCTTTCAATGTAAAGAACGAGGAGTTGAAACCTGATGCACTCGATTTACGTCCTGGTTTCTATATAAGACAAGTAAGCAAAGAGTATATACCTCTCAGGCTTCAGTGTCAATATGATGTCTAACAGTCCCTGAACCACACTATTTCCCCTACTGCCGAACCCTCCCTGCAATGTTACAGCTCTAAATGAAGCAAGTCTAGATCTTAGGCGGATCCAGAGGAGGGGTGCAGGGGGGATGACACATTGAACACACATTGGTCGTCCCACTACCCCCCCCCCCCCACTTTTATGCTGAAAGTTTAATGACCATTGAAACTCGGGTGAAAATGAACTGTGCACCCCGCTTTTCTCAAAAAGCTGTATCCGCCCCTGTAGATGTCCCCCGGTTCAGGAATTTTACATCTCACTGGGGCTCCTCTTCAGTTTCATTGGGATTTTTTAACCAGCAATATTAATTATATTCAGACACTAAGTGTTAGTCCACCTGTGGCCATGCTGCGATCAATACATACGCACCCTAGAATGGGTACCGAGCTCAGCAAATAGACTTGGCCTCGTCTCAATAAATACCGGATACTATGTCAATACAAGATCGAGCTGTTGATTTTGCACATCCCTGTATTCAATATGTTTGCTCGTGTGGGGTCCTTTCATGAATCGTCGTTATGTATAAAATCTTGAAAACAGTTTTTGGAGTGAACAAACATTCGACATAAATGTATACCATTTGGTGAGTGAGTGAATATGGTTTTACGCCGCTTTTAAATAGCAATATTGCAGCAATATCACGGCGGGGCACACCACAAATGGGCTTCACACATTGTACCCATGTGGGAGTCGAACCTGTATCTTCGGGGAGACAAACCAACGCTTCAACAAGTAGGTTACCCCCATCGCACCACCATAGCGTCGAAGTTAGGGTTGTCTCGAAGTAAAAGATTGATCCCTGCGGCGCATTCCGTCTTTAATCATGATTTTTCACTGGTGTCTCATCTCGGATAACTCGAAGTATTTACGGGGCCGGTGGGGTAACCTAGTGATTAAAGCGTTGGCTCGTCACCCCGAAGACCCGGGTTCGATTCCCCACATGGGCACAATGTGTGAAGCCTATTTCTGTTGTCCCCCGCCGTGATATTGCTGGAATATTGCTAAAAGCGGCGTAAAACTAAACTCAGTCAGTCGAAGTATTTACGTATGTCCGATCTGCTTCGACACAAGGGTGTATGACAGTAACTTCATTTATCATATGATAGGTAGGTTACTCGGCAGGATTGAGCCAATTGTATCGGGGCGGTGGGGTAGCCTAGTGGTTAAAGCGTTGGCTTGTCAGGCCGAACATCCGGGTTCGATTCCCCACATGGGCACATTGTGTGAAGCCCATTTCTGGTTCGATTCTCCGGTAGGTTAGTGCAAATGAATAACAAATGGTATCCTTTTATGTCATTTACTGACGTCACTATTTCCTGCCGAGCCGGTAGTGGTAATCGATGCTCTGGGTGAGTGAGTTAAGATTTATAGTCACATCGGCAATATTTCAGCCATATCGTGACTAAAACTAGTCGATGCTCTGGACAAATTAAAAGAATATTTGTTCATTATTAAAATAACATGTAAACCGTTTGCTTGTTGTTCAGCTATATGGTGGAGGTCTATAAATAGTCGAGTGTGGACCAGACATTCCAGCGATCAATCTACCAAACGTGGATACAATGACATGTGTCAACCACGTCAGGGAACATGACTACCCGAGCCCGTTAGTCGCCTATTACGACAAGCATGCGTTACTCAAGACACATGATTTTCATGGGTACAGTTAATACTTCGCAACAGTACGATAAATTTTGTCCTAGTGTTTCTTCCTATTCGACTATATTAATGTTCATTGAGCTAGTTTTAACAAATATGTGAAAACCTAGTTATTTGACTGCACTTAGGGTGTTATACAGTAGATATTAAGTTCTGAATATATGTGAAACTTGTAATGTACACAGTCATGCCTATTATATATCTTTTCCAGCATGTTTTCTAGATGTGTCATAGTTTCGATGATGGCGTTTAAAAACACCCACTCACTCACTCACTCACTCACTCACTTTACAGACAGCCACTAGGGCGCGGCGAACTATAAACAAACGTTTTTTCTTTGTACACATCCTGAGTGCCTTAAACAAGCATCGCTTCGGCATATCGTCCACGAACTAGACCAATGTTAAACCAGGTTCTCACTAAACCTATTTCCCCTATTAATGTCAGGGGGGCACAGTTTTGCAAGTCATGCGAGCGAGGTCAACATTTGGTATTTCACTCCCTATAACATTGGGTCCGTGTACACACGTACTGGATACGCTAGGGTACAGCAGTAGATTCAGATCAAGGTAAGATTCTGCTGAATTTTACCTACATCAAAACTATCCGATTTTCTGAAATATATAGAATAAGATATAACATAGTATTCATACCCTAGACTGGATCTGTGTGTCTTTGTTTGGTTTGGTTGTTTAACGCCGCACTCAGCAATATTTCAGCAATATTTCAGCTACATCTGTATATAATCGGAAATCGAGTGATCAACAGCATGAACATCGATCTAAGCAGTTGGAATACGATGACGTGTGTCAACCAAGTCAGCGAACCTGACCACCCGATCCCGCTACTCGCCTCTTACGACAAGCATGGATTACTGAAGACCACTTCTTATCCGCATCTCCACAGGTCTACCAGTTCAGTACACACTTTACATGATCTAAGGTAAACCCGGTCCTTGCAAAATAAACTAATCTGTAAAAACACGGAAGGATTGGAGTATGTAATATCCTTTGTCGATTACAATAATCTGTACGGATCCGATAGACGGAGTTAATCTGCAAAAGCTGATAATGCCCAGCTGCTGAAATAGGAAAATGAGGAATGATTGACAACGAATATATGCCTTCAAAGGCGGCGTAAAACCATACTCACTCACTCATGATATCATTAACGATTAAGGAAGGAAACGAGTAAATGACTGCAAAGGCATAACCTCACATTTTAAGTATTTACGACCACAACTCGGCTGACTTCAGAAAATCAAAGATATCTGTTTTTGTCCGTTTCCATTCCATCCAAAACATAAGCCAGGGTGGAGACCCGCGAAGAACCGGGTTAAAATTGGCCTTCAGCAATCCATGCTTGTTGTAAGAGGCGACGAACGGGATCGGATGGTCAGGCTAGCTGATTTAGTTGTCATCGTACCCCAATTGCGTTGAGAGATGCTCATGATGTTGATCACTGGGTTGTCTGGTCCAGACTACTGCCATATAGCAGGAATATTGCTCAGTGCGGCGTTAAACAACAAACAAACAAACCCACAGTGAAGCTATCTTCGCAAACGTATATCTGTGAAAATATTATGTTCTTTCAGAATGTGGACGAGAATGAGTCTTACGTTCCTGACTGCGCTGGCGGGGCTGCACATTACCAATACACAGATAGTGTCAACTCAAAATGGACAGCTTCTTGGACAACGACTATCAGTGTTGGGCAAGTCCCTTGACGTATTCTATGGAATCCCATATGCCAAGCCTCCGGTAGGCGATCTTCGCTTTAAGCATCCTCAGCCTTCAGAGTCTTGGGGACCGGAAGTTAGAGATGCGCAAAAACCGACGCCATCTTGCATTCAAACTAAGGATACGTTTGAATCTTCGGAGGCTTACAGACAGACCCCTGATGATTACAGTGAAGATTGTCTTCATCTGACAGTGTGGACGCCATCAGCCAATCGTGGCAATCTGGCGGTGATGGTCTGGATCTATGGTGGGGGGTGGCATTTCGGATCAACACGGGTACCACTGTATGACGGCAAATACCTTGCAGCAGAGAATAACGTCATCATTGTTTCCATGAATTACAGATTAGGTCCTTTAGGGTTCAGCTACCTGGGGCCAGATACCATCCCTGGCAACATGGCCTTGATGGATCAAAGACTGGCCTTACAATGGGTGAAGGACAATATTGTCAGCTTTGGTGGAGATCCAGCCCGGGTGACCATATTTGGAGAAAGTGCCGGAAGTGCCAGCGTAGGTCACCATTTGATTTCACCTCTGTCAAGTGATTTGTTTGACAGAGCTATCATGCAAAGTGGAACTCAGGTTGCTAACTGGGCTTACACCTTCCCTAAAACAGCAAAACGGAAGATGAAGAGGTTTGCTGTTCTCCTTGGATGTTCATCTTCAACTGATGCAGATATATATGACTGCTTGAAGACAGCAGATGCACAAACTATGGCAGACCTTCAGTTTGGTTTGTTTGATGAAGGGCTTGCTTTTAAAGCAGTCGTGGATGGGTACTTCCTCCCCGATGACCCCAAAACTCTTGTGTCTCGCGGTTCTATCAAGCAGACCAGTGTATTACATGGTTTTACTAAAGACGAGGCAACACTGTTTATGTCAGTGATATTGAGGCAGGTGAGAAACACATCTTCATTACCGGAAACAATGATTTTAAGTCGCCCGGAGTATGAAAATCTCTTTGAACTTGATTTTGCAACTGGAGAACCAATCGAAGAACCCCTTCGTCTGTTTTATGAAAGTCAGAAAACACCTCTAAAGTACACCGACTATTTTGATGTTATAAAGCGCGTGAGTTCCGATAAGGGATTGAAATGTCCTCATCTTGACTTTGACAGATTGTACTCTCCTGCTAACCCTACCTACGTGTACAGTTTTAATCACCGACTATCAATTAGTCCGAATCCACAGTGGATTGGAGCAACCCATTGGTATGAGGTTGAGTTTGTGTTTGGTTTGGTCCTTGACGAGTCCCTGGGATGTACAGAGGAGGAGATGGAACTCAGCAGGACCATGATGACGTACTGGACCAACTTTGCCAAGTCAGGGTGAGTGCGTGAATAACTCGCAATCAATGGTAGCAATAACGTAATAGTTGAGTAGAGTTGGGCTTTACGTCACATCGTCATTTTTCCAGCCATATAGTGACGAGTTACGTAATAGACATCTATTGTGGCTACCAAATCCTATATTGTAGTCTCTCGCAGGAACTTCATCCTCGAATGTTTTGAATTTTGAATTTTGAATTTTTTTCAGGACAGCTACTTTTCGCTGATGATGTTACTTTAGCTTCAGATACTAAATGTGGCCTTCAACATCAATTACATATTTCAGCATTGTATTCCGATAAGTTGGGTTTAAAAGTTAACCTTGATAAATCTAATATTGTTATATTCAGGAGGGGAGGTAGACTTAAAAGTACTGATGCATGGTACTTTACAGGTAATAACTTAAAGATAGTCAATAGCTATAAGTATATCGGTTTTCTATTCACGTGTAATGTTAGCCTGGGAAATCGTTATCCGATCTCTCCTTGCGTGGTAAAAAAGTATTAATGGGATGAAATGGCAGCCTTAGAAACATCGGTTCGTTATCACCGGATATCTTTTTCAAAATATTTGATAGTCAAATACAATCTATCCTATTATATGCTTCAGAAATGTGGGGACATAACAATAATGAATGTATTCAGAAAATACATCTTTCGGCTTGCAAATTATACCTAAAGGTTGGACCTCAGACACCTAACGCTATTGTGTATGGTGAATGTGACCGTTTCCTTATTTTTGTAAATGCAGCTGTTCGTTGTCTTAACAACTGGATTAAAATAATAACAACGCATAAAGATCGCATACCAAAGAAAGCTTATGAAATGTTACTTAATCTCGATAACCTTGGCTATGAGACATGGGCTTCAAAAATTCGCTAGTTGCTCCTTTCTTAAGGATTTGGATTTGTTTGGCTATAACAAACTATCGGAATCTTTAAAACGCGTTTAGTGGATGTTTTTAAACAAAACTGGAGATCCGATCTTGACAATAGCACACGTTATGTTTTATAGAGAGAATTCAAAAGCTTATTAAACTCTGAAAAATACCTTTTTGAAATTGAAGATTATAAATTACGTAAATATTTAGTTAGATTTAGAGCAGGATTACTAAGGTTAAAATTTAATGAAGGACGATGGTGTAAAATTAACGCAAATTTGAGAACGTGTCCTATCTGTTACGGAGGTCTAGAAGACGAATACCATTTTACTTTCATTTGTCCTAGATATGATGACTTACGTCGTAAATATTTACCAAGTGATTTGAAATAGAATATGCATAACCCAGATAGCATTCAGACGTTGACCCAACGTTGGCAATGGTTTTGCCAACATTACCATTATCATATCATATCTTTATCTTCTTTATCCATATTAACCTGTATCGTATGTTCTGATTACCTGTATACATGTATGCAGATGGGCGTGTATACATATATGCAAATTGTATTATAATGTATGAAACTGTATGTATATGGGCCCGGTGGCCTTTGTAGGGAAATACAGATTGACAGCCACAATGTCACACACAATTTTGAAGTTTTCATTTATCTTGCAGTAACCCTAACGCTCCTGTCCCCGTCAAGGTGAACTGGCCAACCTCTGACAACACTGATCTCTCCTACATGGCCCTTGATGTGGGCAGGAAACTAGGTGTAGGACAAGGGGTAGTCCATCACGAATGTGTTTTCGTCAACAGGATTCTACCCATGATGTCTGCAGGTAATTAATGTATGATGGAAATTTGGATATCATATGATTATTGTAACCTTTACAGAGTCCTTAATATTTCGGTCTTTGGCCGATTCCATTAGTATGTGCCCGAAACAAACAAAATTCAAGTAGATTAAAAGTTTGAAGGGAAATAAGTTCTAAACATCCGTATCAAGCGCAGGTCTCATTACATCACATTCCAAGAGTATTTTGTACACTGTTGTGTCGAAGTTCTAGGAACCTAAGTAAATACTTCGAGTTCTTGAATATGAATATGAATTTTTATGAATAATGAGATCATTCAAAGGGACAAAACGACCCGTGAAGATCCGGGGTAGAATAGGTCTTCAGCAACCCATGCTTGCCACAAAAGGCGACTGTGCTTGTCGTAAGAGGCGACTAACGGGATCGGGTGGACAGGCTCGCTGGCTTGGTTGACACATGTCATCGTAGCCCAACGATGCTCATGTTGTTGATCACTGGATTATCTGGTAAAACTAAACTCACTCACTCGAAAGGACCAAACAGGTACTTCGAGACAACCGTATTTACATATCAAAGATCGGCACAGCAGTGTTTCATTATATTTGTTTCATGCCGAACAACGCTACATAGATGTCGTCACTAAGAATATTAGGATTTTGTAACTTGACTATGGTTTCAAAAGGCGATTTTGCCTTTGTGATATTATAGATCTACCTCTGCTTTTAACCATGTGAAGGCTATGGTGAGCCATAATTTGACCTTTAACGCTGAATCGGTGTTGTCTATGCTGTAACCTTAAGGACTACCACAAGCACAAATAACTTCCAAGACTTTGACATATGTAGTTATAACATATATCCAATAGCCATAACCTATGTCGAATTCAACAGTCTCTTTTATCATACCTTGCTACTTTGCTTGTTTGATCATACAGATATGTACATACCAGTACGTTCCTGAAGATATGTACATACCAGTACGTTCCTGAAGATTTGTACATACCAGTACGTTCCTGAAGATATGTACATACCAGTACGTTCCTGAAGATATGTACATACCAGTACGTTCCTGAAGATTTGTACATACCAGTACGTTCCTGAAGATATGTACATACCAGTACGTTCCTGAAGATATGTACATACCAGTACGCTCCTACAGATATGTACATACAAGTACGTTCCTGAAGATATGTACATACCAGTACGTTCCTGAAGATATGTACATACCAGTACGTTCCTGAAGATATGTACATACCAGTACGTTCCTACAGTCATGTACATACCAGTACGTTCCTGAAGATATGTACATACCAGTACGTTCCTACAGATATGTACATACCAGTACGTTCCTACAGATATGTACATACCAGTACGTTCCTGAAGATATGTACATACCAGTACGTTCCTGAAGATATGTACATACCAGTGCGTTCCTGAAGATCTGTACATACCAGTACGTTCCTGAAGATATGTACATACCAGTACGTTCCTGAAGATATGTACATACAAGTACGTTCCTGAAGATATGTACATACCAGTACGTTCCTGAAGATATGTACATACCAGTACGTTCCTACAGATATGTACATACCAATATATTCCTACAGATATGTTCATACCAATATGTTCCTACAGATATGTGCATACCAATACCTTCCTTCAGATATGTTCATACCAATACCTTCCTACAGATATGTGCATACCAATACGTTCCTACAGATATGTGCATACCAATTCCTTCCTACAGATATGTACATACCAATATATTCCTACAGATATGTACATACCAATATATTCCTACAGACGTGTGCATACCAATACCTTCCTACATATATGTTCATACCAATACCTTCCGACAGATATGTGCATACCAATACCTTCCTACAGATATGTGCATACCAATACCTTCCTACAGATATCTACATACCAATACCTTCCTACAGATATGTGCATACCAATACCTTCCTACAGATATGTTCATACCAATACCTTCCTACAGATATGTGCATACCAATACCTTCCTACAGATATGTACATACCAATATGATACGTGCATACCAATACCTTCCTACAGATATGTGCATACCAATACCTTCCTACAGATATGTGCATACCAATACCTTCCGACAGATATGTGCATACCAATACCTTCCTACAGATATGTGCATACCAATACCTTCCGACAGATATGTACATACAATACTACAGATATGTACATACCAATACCTTCCTACAGATATGTACATACCATACCTTCCCAATATGCATACCAATACCTTCCTACAGATATGTGCATACCAATACCTTCCTACAGATATGTTCATACCAATACCTTCCGACAGATATGTACATACCAATACCTTCCTACAGATATGTGCATACCAATACCTTCCTACAGATATGTACATACCAATACCTTCCTACAGATATGTACATACCAATACCTTCCTACAGATATGTGCATACCAATACCTTCCTACATATATGTTCATACCAATACCTTCCGACAGATATGTGCATACCAATACCTTCCTACAGATATGTGCATACCAATACCTTCCTACAGATATCTACATACCAATACCTTCCTACAGATATGTGCATACCAATACCTTCCTACAGATATGTTCATACCAATACCTTCCTACAGATATGTGCATACTAATACCTTCCTACAGATATGTGCATACCAATACCTTCCGACAGATATGTACAGACCAATACCTTCCTACAGATATGTTCAGACCAATACCTTCCTACATATATGTTCAGACCAATACCTTCCTACAGATATGTGCATACCAATACCTTCCTACAGATATGAACATACCAATACCTTCCTGCAGATATGTACATACCAATACCTTCCTACAGATATGTGCATACCAATACCTTCCTACAGATATGTGCATACCAATACCTTCCTACAGATATTTTCATACCAATACCTTCCTACAGATATGTGCATACCAATACCTTCCTACAGATATGTACATACCAATACCTTCCGACAGATATGTGCATACTAATACCTTCCTACAGATATGTTCATACCAATACCTTCCGAAAGATATGTGCATACCAATACCTTCCTACAGATATGTGCATACCAATACCTTCCTACAGATATGAACATACCCATACCTTCCTACAGATATGTGCATACCAATACCTTCCTACAGATATGTACATACCAATACCTTCCTACAGATATGTTCATACCAATACCTTCCTACAGATATGTGCATACCCATACCTTCCTACAGATATGTGCATACCAATACCTTCCTACAGATATGTACATACCAATACCTTCCTACAGATATGTGCATACTACAGATATGTACATACCAAACCTTCCTACAGATATGCATACATACCAATTACCTTCCTACAGATATGTGCATACCAATATTCCATACCTTCCTACAGATATGCATACCAATACTACAGATATGTGCATACCAATACCTTCTACTACATACATACCAATACCTTCCTACAGATATGTGCCATACCAATACCTTCCTACTACCATGATACCTTCCTACAGATATGTGCATACCAATACCTTCCTACAGATATGTGCATACCAATACCTTCCTACATATATGTACATACCAATACCTTCCTACAGATATGTGCATACCAATACCTTCCGAAAGATATGTACATACCCATACCTTCCGACAGATATGTGCATACCAATACCTTCGTACAGATATGTACATACCAATACCTTCCTACAGATATATACATACCAATACCTTCCTACAGATATGTGCATACCAATACCTTCCTACAGATATGTGCATACCATACCTTCCTACAGATATGTGCATACCAATACCTTCCTACAGATATGTTCATACCAATACCTTCCGACAGATATGTACATACCAATACCTTCCTACAGATATGTTCATACCAATACCTTCCGACAGATATGTGCATACCAATACCTTCCTACAGATATGAACATACCAATACGTTCCTGCAGATATGTACATACCAATACCTTCGTACAGATATGTGCATACCAATACCTTCCTACAGATATGTGCATACCAATACCTTCCTACAGATATGTGCATACCAATACCTTCCGACAGATATGTACAGACCAATACCTTCTTACAGATATGTTCAGACCAATACCTTCCTACAGATATGTGCATACCAATACCTTCCTACAGATATGTGCATACCAATACCTTCCTACAGATATGTGCATACCAATACCTTCCTACAGATATGAACATACCAATACCTTCCTACAGATGTGTGCATACGATTATGATCCTACAGATGTGTGCATAAAGTACGTTCCTAAAGACGTTTGCATACCATGTTGTGATCTGGAATGCATGAAACTGGTAGTTTGAGAAGTTTGTTATCATGTTGAAATATGCATATTGGATATTCATGACCGTATGGTGTAGACGTGATTATATCAGTATAAATATATAAATGTCTAAGTAGATATTACTACCATTACTTCTTATGATAATTATAATGCTGAAAATTCAAGATATTGATACCCTTACTCGCGACCCGTGAAGATCCGGGTTAGAATTGTTCTTCAGTAACAAATGCTTGTCAGAAAAGGCGACTCACGGGATCGGGTGGTCAGGCTCGCTGACTTGGTTGACACAGTCATCGTATCCCAACTGCGAAGATCGATGCTCATGCTGTTGATCCCTCGATTGTCTGGTCTAGACTCGATTTTTTTCAGACAGCCGCCATATAGCTGGAATATTCTGAGTGCGGCGTTAAACAACAAACCAACTACCCCTCACTCGCAGAATCATGTCCAGCAGTGCCAACCATCATAGGAGGTCGGGGTGTTCTTGATGTGGATGATCTCCATGACATGATATTATCCCCAGGGTTCCATCCCCTGTTAAAAAAAACTGCAATATTCACGAACGTGATCGAAGTTGTCATTATAAGTATCATAAACATGTTTGGGCCTCGAACTTTGCACAGGGAACATTAGGATTGAACACACGCCGTACAGAGCGA